ATTTCATTGCTGTCACCTGTTATTATTATGATCATACTCATATTCTGTTACTGCTTCAGTCCCAAAGTCTCAGGCAGGCTGTTGCCAGACAGGCAGCAGGATGCTTTCACAATAAATATCTGCTCAAATGTCTCCCAGGCCACATCAATGAGAGGTCTGAGTAATCAGATTACATTGTGTCTTGGTGGTCATCTATGATCTGATTTTAAAATGGGAAATATTTGGTGGGAACTCTTGTGGTGCTTTGACCAGTACTACAGTTCACACACGGCTCCTTTTCTCTTCTCATTGCTGCGTTCATGCTGCAGATGTCAATAAAGTTGTGGTTGTGAAACTTTAGCATCTGGTTCAAGGCTCCAGCCAGAGCGCGTATTTCTAACCAGCAGGTAGTTTCACATTTTTCAAACAGCTCAACAAATATCACAAAACATACAAAGTGTTTCTGTGCCGCTGGACCCACAACACGTCCACAAGCTAAAGGCACACAAGCTAGCAAGAATTAAATGTAAGTGTGTGACACGGACGGACAGGGAGCAACAAAAGGAAACAACAATAAGATAAATAAAGATAAAATACGTGGGGTTCGGGTTACCCAACCCTACAACCCTAAAATGAGGTGAAAGGTTGCAGTGATGCATCCTGTTGGGACGGGTGCAGAGCAGGCTGTGGTGTTCATGGTCAGTATCAGGCTAAATCAAGGGTAGTAGATGTTAATTCAAATTTAAGATGATCATCTGCTTACAGGTCACGAGGGCCGGTGTCCTGCAGGTTTTTAATGTGTCCTTGATCCAACACAGCTGATTTAAACGACCTCCTCAACATGTCCTGACGTTCTCCAGAGGCCTGGTGATGAACTCATCATGTGATTCAGGTGTGTTGACCCAGGGTGAGATCTAAACCCTGCAGGACACCGGCCCTCGAGGCCTGGAGTTCCCACCCCTGCCTCAGGTGTTTCATACATCCTGCTTCAATAAATAAGCTCCTTCTCTTCTCACTGTAAATCCTGAGCTGAGCTGGCGCTTCGCTAAAATCACGTCTGTGACTCGTCCGCCCCATTTCCTGCTCCGTTCACGGAGACATAAATTACTTTTTGTGCATGACGGTAACTGCCTCTCATGAATGTGAAGGTGGGAACCAAAGTTCCCAGCAAATATAAGCAGTTGTGTTCTTCTGGTATCTGCTGCTGCTCATAAAGCAGGACAATGATCCACACGCAGACGCACCCGCGGTCTTGTTCAGCAGAGTAAAATCATCTGGCTCAAACAGTTTCTGTAATCCTCTCAGACGACTACGAATCGGCTTCGGTCCAACAGACACAACCCCTGCCTCGCTAACGATCCGACTGTTTAGCCTGGGCATCGTTTAAATTCCAATCAACACGCTGTAATGTGAGCTCGTGTGCGTGCACGTGCTTCAGTGTGTATTTATGCGCACATGTCAGGACTACTTTAACTTTGGACACACTTTTAAAGCGCCTGTGGAGATTTGTCCCAGCAAACCCG